CGGGACAGAATCCGGCGCCCCGACTGGGACTAGAACCCGGTGTGCCGGCGCCGCTAGGCAGAGGATTAGCCTAGTAAGCCGCGGCGCCGGCCCTGTTTTCACTTAGTTAAATTTTATTATTTATAAGCTTTAATTTATCCTTTTGATTTTTCTTTTGACTAACCTGTTCATATCATCTGGCTGGTTTTCTTTTGAGTTATTCTTCTCTTCCTTATTGATTATATCTGTTTTACAATTTATATATTATAGGTATTGCAAATATATTGTCCTAGTATGTCACTAGATATTTAACTTTACTTGTGATAAATTTTTTTCAGTTTTTAAAAGGGTATATTATCACCAACAAATAAGAGTTAATATTTAAAATCATGCACTTGACCTTGGAAATTGAAAATCAAAAGGGGGGGGTAAAAAGCAGACTATAACTATTTTTATTTAATAATAGTTTTTCAAATGTAATTGGATTTTTCTAAATTTGTCTTTAATGCCATTCTTATGTGTCACACAAAATGTCCTTTTTACCCATGGCCACAAATATGTTTATTAAGAAATATTTATATATATTATTTTACTTTTAAGTTCGATTTTAAAAGTGAGATCTTGGAACAGGCATTTAACTTAGCAGTTATGATGATCACACACTCATATTGGAGTGTCTAGGTTTATTTCCAGCTCTGGCTCCTGACTCCAGCTTCCTGCTAATACAGCCCTTTGGAGTCAGCAGTAATGGCTCGAGTAATCAGGTTCTTGCCACCTGAGTGAATATTGGGATTATGTTCCCAGCTCCTGACTCCAGCCCACTACAGCCTGGCCCCTGTAACCATGTAAGGAGTAAAACCAGTGAATGGGAGGCTCACTCTCTCTCTTGCTCTCTTTCTCTCATTACTTCTCTCTTTCTCTTTCTCTCTGTCTTCCCTTTCTTTCTCCCTGCTGCTCAAATTAATTTAGATCTGTTTTCAATCATTTATGTATTTATTTTCCAAATTTTAATGTTAATTTTAAATTTATAAAACAAGAATTGTGAGGTAGTAAAATAATAAGTTCCCATTTACCCCATCCAATTTCTCCATTAATATCTCATAATAGTGTATTAGCCAAAATTAATGAACCACTTCCAACTTCCCTGTTTTTTGTTAATTCAAATTCAAATTCCTTTTAAACCTCTCACCCCTCCTAGCCTGTACTAATCAGCATTCTATATTTAGACTGAAGTTTTGTTTTTGTTTTTTGGTTTTTTTGTTTGTTTGTTTGTTTGTTTGTTTTTAATTTTAGCTCCACATATAAGGGAGAACATGTGGTTTACCTTCTGTGTCTAGCTGATTTCCCTCAACATGATGCCCTCTAATGCCATCCGTTTTGCTGCAAATGACCCAATTTCGTTTTATACCTGTATAGTATCCCATTGTATCACCACGCTTTCTTAGTCCATTTATTCATCTGATGATGGACACCTTCGTTTCCATATTTTGTGAACAATGCTGCTATAAATATTGTAGAGTTCTTTGAAACTGTGAGTTTGTGTCTTTTGAGTATATACCCAGGAATAGGATTGCTGGACTATATGACAGTCTATCTCTAGTTTTTTAAGAAATCTTGGGGCCAGCATCACCACCCC